CCCCTCTAGGCTTAAAATCAAGAGAAACTTGGGCACGTGCTCCAAGAGACGTGAACAAGAACGTTCAAAGCTGCACTGTTCTTAATAGCAAAAATCTGGAAATAACCCAAATGCCCACTGACAAGAGAATGAGTAAATAAATAAATTACAGTGGATCTCTTCACAACAGTGGCCCATCATTCAGCAGTGCAAGCAAATGAACCAGTTTCACACATATCACGAGTGAATATTAGTGCCATGTTGTTGAGTGAAAAATCCAGTCCCAGAAGACAAATACCCTTGCTGTGAAGTTCAAAACCAAGCCAAACCATATCTCTACAAATAACAACGTTGGTTCCTTCCTTCTAATACTTTTGTTATTAGGAGATGACATGATTACCCACCCAAAGAGACGCAAAAGTATACTCAAGACTCAAGAATAATACTGAGAAATTATTAGAAGCGGTAAGAAAATGTAGTTTGTTTAGCAGGTATCAAAGGAATACATAAAAATTATCGGCCTTCCTGTGCACTAATAGCTTCAAAATGTAATGGGAAATATCCTATTCAAAATATCCACCAAAATGTAAAATACCTAGAAATAAACTTGTTAACTGTTATGCAGGGCCTATATGAAAACAATTGTAAAAATCATTGAATAATGTAAAAGAAAACCTCAAAACAGCTTTTTTCCCCCGTATTTTAAAAAAAAGCCAGATCAAACAGAATATTGTCTAGGTGTATATGTATATGAGAAAACTCTTTATTGAAAGAAAAATACTGATCACCACAAAATTCAGGTTCCCTGGAGAAGGAGGCAGGGAGATGGGATGGGGGGGTAACAAGTAAGCAAATATATCAATAAACATATAAATTAAATAAAAGAGGGCCCTGCAAAGGCTCAGATGACAGTGCCTAACGCACGAGGATTTCGCCCCAATTTGCACTTCTAAGGTAGGAAAGGGGGAAAGGGAGACACTAGATTCGTTTGCACAGACTTTTATTCAGAGTATAGGCAAGAGCTTGTCTTTCTTTCCAGGAGCCCACATGGGACGTGGGGGTGGGGAGGCCTGTGTGTGTATATAGGGGACAGAGCTAAGGGTCTCAAAGACACACAATACTGAGGGCCTTCAGACTGGACAGATCCAGAAGGCTTCGGGGACCAGGCGGCCTTGTAAACGGGCCCGTATTTCAATTGACAGAGATGGTGGGAAGGGAAGAACATGCCGGGCCTGCCAGGGGTGGGGTGAGGGTTACAAAGGGGGTTGTAAAGGCAAAGAGGCCAGACAGAGAGTAGTGAGGCCTGAGAGAAAGCACCCAGAAACTCTGGAGGGAGCTAAGGCTGCTCTGGGAAGAACAACTTAAGAGAGGGTTAAGGGCAGGTCTGGTTTGGAGAGGCCCCTGAGACCTAAGAGCAGGGGCCCCCTGGTGAGCACCTGGCTGGGCCTGTCTTCAGCTGTGACCTTGTGCAAGTTGCTCACCACCCTGAGCCTTAGATGCCTTTCTACAAGAGATTGCTGCCTGCCTGCAGATCCCACAGAAAGCCCTGAGAAGAAGGCCCACTTTCTCCCGGAAGGCCACACTCTGGAAACAGCAGAAGTGCCCATCCACCCCCAGCCCACAGTCTCTAGCCCTGCCCTGCCGGAGGAGGGGAAGGGAGTTAGAGCATCGGCAATGCCAGGCCATGCTGGTCTCGCGGCCACTGCTTGGTCAGCAGGCCCAGGGGGCAGTCCCACCTTCTGGAAATAGAGAGCTGAGGCCTGGTTGCCGAGAAAGGCCACCAGTAAAGTTACCAGAGCCAGGAACAGAGTGTTGCAGTCAGACCCTGGGCAACCCCAGTGAAGTCAGAGAAATGGGTCTGCAGACCCCAGTCCCAGACACCTCCCAGCTACTGAGAGACAAGCCAGGCCAAGCCTGCCCTGCTGAAGTCTATCTGCCCAGCCTCCAAACCCACTGATAAATGTGTTGGAAAACACTCATCTGTGCTCAGCAAGGGGAGGAGAGAGGGTGGCCCCCACCCCGTGTCTTTATCTGTTCTTTTCATTGCTGTAACATTTTCTTTATACCCATGTGTCCACATAATAAATAATAATAATACCTAACCCTTAAGTAGAACTTCCCGTGTGCCAGGCATAGTTCTAAGTGCTTTGTGTATATTCATTCATTTAATCCTCAGAACAGTCCAATACCGTAATCCATTTTGCAGGTGAGGAAACTGAGGCATAGGGTGTTAAGTAATTTGCCCCAATCTGGTTGTCTTAACCATCAAGCTAGAAGCCATCATATATATATATGTATATATATAAATTTTTACATAATGGCATAAATGTGATCATATATATGTTTTAATGTGTTTTTAAATTTTTCTTTTATATTTTTCCTCCCCCCACCATGGAATCCTATGTTATCACCCTAACGTGTGATCTTTTATATTTTTTATTTCTTCACAATTATACATAGACATATATACCAGTAGCTATAATCACAGGTACATATACAAGGTCCCTTTTTGTCATTATTTTAAAATAGTGGATCGTATTAAATAAATATTTCTGCATCTCTCTTTTTTCACTCTATACCTGGAAACCCCTGGCAGATCTAATTCACTGGGAGGGGTTTTTTGTTTTTGTTTTGGTGAGGAAGATGAGCCCTGAGCTAACATCTGTTGCCAATCCTCTTCTTTTTGCTGAGGAAGATCAGCCCTAGGCTAACATCCGTGCCCATCCTCCTCTACTTTATATGTGGGACGCCCACCACAGCATGGCTTGACAAGCAACGTGCAGGTCTGCACCAGGGATCTGAACCTGCGAACCCCAGGCCGCCAAAGCAGAGCACGTGAACCCAACCACTACACCACCAGGCCGGCCCTGTCTAATTCACTGTTTTTTACTTTTTTACTTTTTAATTTTTTGTGAGGAAGATCAGCCCTGAGCTAACATCCATGCTAATCCTCCTCTTTTTGCTGAGGAAGACCGGCTCTGAGCTAACATCTATTGCCAATCCTCCTCCTTTTTTTTTCCCCCCAAAGCCCTAGTAGATAGTTGTATGTCATAGCTGCACATCCTTCTAGTTGCTGTATGTGGGACGCGGCCTCAGCATGGCCGGAGAAGCGGTGCGTCTGCGTGCGCCCAGGATCCGAACCTGGGCCACCAGTAGCAGAGCACGCGCACTTAACTGCTAAGCCATGGGGCCGGCCCTAATTCACTGTTTTTAACAGCCACGTATGGTACCTTGTGTGGTACCCACCCACCCACCGTGTCCTTCCACCTGGCCCTCCCGCTGATGGTCATCTTCTAGAGTCCCATCACCACCCCCAAGGCGCTTGTTGCTTTAATCTATTTGGGAGTCTGATGGTGAAAATGCTAGGCCAGCTGAGAGGAAAAGGCAGTAAGAAGGCAGCAAGTGGCATTTCTGGCTGGGTCTTGCCCACTCCCTTGCTGGTGGCCAGCAGCCCTCTGTCCCCAGAGGCGGGAATGCTGACTGTGTTATTGTGAAATCATTTGTATATTGTGAAGTCCTTTGCATATGATGGAGTGATTTGCATATAGGGGTGGGAGTGGGGGGCCGGGAGGGGGGCGGATCTTAGAGATCCCAGAGCAGCATCCCTGAATGTCTTCCTCCCTTTGCAAAGAAACCCACCCCGGCTTCCACTTCAGAACCCATGGAGGGGCACAGGAAGGCGTCCTGGCAAACCTATGGGCCTGGTGGGGTGAAGCAGACATGGGGCTTTCAGAGGAAAGTGATCCCACCTGGAAGGAGTTGGGGGTCTAGGAAGGGCAGACATTGGAGTGCAAGATGGAACAGGGCACCGGGTGCGGAATGGGAGACCCGAGTGTGCCCTCAGAAGCCCCAGGACTGGAGGGCAACACAGGACAATGAAGGGAGCCACATGGAGGCAGATGAGGGTCAGAGGCTTGGAGACCCCCACTCCTTCACAATCTCTGCCCAAGTGAGTGCACATGTGCCCCTTCCTGAATGTCATACGGTTCTGGCTGATTCCCAGAGAAGTATGCAAAGTGGAAATGTGAAGCCAGACTCCCACGACCCTATAAGAGAGAGGTGCTATCACATGCTCTGGGTTCAGGGGCATCCAGGTTTGAATCCTGGCTCTGCCATCTGTGCCATTGCGTGATCCTGGGCTAACAGTGCCCACCTCAATGGGACAGACTCAGGATTCGGTGAGACAATGCAAGTAGAGTGAATGGCACGTAATACGCGTTCAGTAAATTGCAGGTATAATAATAATGCTATTGTTTCCTGCCCTAGTCTCAGGCGAGGGAAGCACAGAGCCCTTGCTCCCGCAGGTTTGGAGTTCTGAGCAGCAGTGTCAACCATGCATTGGACCCCAAAGGGTTACAAGTCCTGGAGACAAAGGCCTGAGGTTCCCAGTGAAAAACCAAAGCATAAAAATAATTCGATGAGTAAGAATAAAATTCCCTCTTCTGAGGTTCCCGGGGTTAGGCCCCTCCCTGCGGCAGGCACTTCCCCTTTCCCTTGCTCATGGAGGAGCCAGGCCGGGCTGACTCAGAGCAGGAGCGCCGCAGCCACCCTCCCACTCCGGACCCTGGCCCGGCTCGGCCCAGGGCTGCGCTGTCTGGCGGCCGAGCGCGCCCCCGTACGGCCGCGGGCGGGACTGCAGCCGGAGAGGGGAAGCGGCGGCCAGACCCGCAAGCCCAGCCACCCAGCCGCTCGCGG